GTGATTGGCTGGCTAGGCCAATGAGTTGGTTTCATGAGGTGGACTTGTCATGAGCTAGACCTGTCATGAGCTAGATCTGTCATGCTCTCATGAATTTGGCCAATGCATTCACATGTAAACTATCAATGCGTATGAGGCTATTTGGGCATGAGGCTATTAGCCATCAGCCGCACACATTTTTGTATCAACAGCCTCCAACATCCATGAGCCTATCTCAAGATTGCAGCAATGAGCGCTAGCAATGCATTGATGGGATCATGGATGTTCATGTGAACCATGTGTTCATGAGAACTATCATTGTTTACAATGATACGTTGATGTTTTCCAATGAGACTATTAGCAATGTTTGTTCAATGAGATCAAATTGAGGCAAGCTGCACATGAGCTGATGAGGAATTTTATTCCCACAGCAGAAAAGCAAACATGGGTGGATGGGATTGGTGACATGCATGGTTTTGAGCTGTGGGTGGATTGGTGGAGATTGGTGGCAACAGGAGATTGATGGACTTGCAGTGGGTGGATGGGCTTGTGCACACTACATGTATATTTTTCTAGTTGGTGTATAACTGTATAACTATATGTTTGACCATATGTGCATGTTGTATTGCAATCTATGTGCATAATTAGAGACTGTGCGTTCAAGAAACTAGTGAGGGTATCAATCTCATAGGTATTTTGTATCCATTGCATTGAGCTGGATGTCTACATTCTCTATTCCAACTTGGAATCAGTTTGATGTGCTTGGGAGGGGATGAGTGATGAAGACATGAGTGACATTGGTGAGTATGAGGGTGCTCCATTTGATGAGCATTCTGAGGTGTATGAGAAAGTGCCCAATCAGTGGTTTGATTGGGAAGATTTGGATGAGAAGGAAGATGAATGGGGGAACCATGGGATTGGGAAACCATTTGGTGATATTCTCTTTGATTGGGAAGAATTGGAGAAGGAAGAGGATTGCAGGATGAAAGCATTGGAAGACAAGAATGAGGCCAAAGGGTGGGATTGATTAAAAGGGGGAGGGGGTCATACTATTGGGAGGTGGTAGGGCCTGTGTGAGGGGTACCCTTTCTGAGCTTGAAAAAGCTAAGATGTTGACAGAGTTTTAAAAGGGGAAAACGCAAGAGTTTTGCTAGCTAGTTTTTGGGGTTTTGGTGTTTGGGGGATGGTTGGTAGCATGAGCCCTTAGGAGAAGCCATCAAAAGGATTGGTGAGCAGGATGAGGCAGTTGAGAGGTGATGGTGAGAATCAGGACGATGAGGAGATGAAGACACCAGCCTCTAAGAAAATGAAGACTATGAGGAGGTCATCATTTTCATCAGCTCCTTCTATGAGCCCACCTTCTTCTATGAGCAAGGTGGAATCAGATCCATCAACCAAGAGAAGGCAATTGGGGATCAGGAGATTCTTTAGCCCTGGGAGTGGGAGCGATGATGGGGCTGTGGTGGCCACTGATGAAGACATGGGGTATACAGAACCTCCTATGAGCAAAAGGCCCACAGTGAAAGACACCATCAGGAACTTGGTTAGATCTGGTGAGTTGGAAGGCGTGTCTTTAGATGAGGAAGCCATTGGTGACATTGCAAACAAGGCATTACAGAATAGGGGAGATCATGGGAAGAAAGGTGGAAGACCTGAGACCAGGACACAACATGGGAAACCCATCAAAAGATTAGGAGGGACCTCGCAGATGAGCTGAACCAACAAGCACATGAGAAGAACTTGGTGGATGAGGCTGAGGATCCTGCAGCATTGAAAGATAAGGAGCCCAATGAGGACCTTGAGGCATTGGATGATGAGAAAAAGCAAGATTGGCAGTTGGTGACCAACAGAAGGGTGGGGGAAGGGCTCATTTGACTGTCAAGAAGGACTCAGCAACTGAGAAGATGAGGATTACCTTTGAGGCCCATCAGCTGGTGAGCAATTTCTTCAACCCTGATGAGGACCCTTGGACATGTGGGCAAGGGGGCGCTCATAGTACCTGGGCAACATGCGCGATTGGACAACATTGATGACAGTGGTAGGTGGATTGAGGATGAACCATTCTGCTATTTGGGAGAGATGAAGGTGCATAGGAAGGGTGAGAGTGCCAGGAGGGCATTGGAGCATTTGGAACACTATGATGTCTATTCCCAACCATCCTCCAATCAGGATAATATCATTATGTCATGGGTCATTGCAAGGCAAGGGAGGATGTATCCAGCATCCATCTATCAGAGGGATTGCTTTGCTTGCATCATTTTCTGATGATACATCCAAGATGATGTATGCAGCCCATCAGTTGCAGTCTATCATTCCTCCAAAGATGACAGCTATGATGCAATTGACAGATACTGATTTTTCCTATCAGTTCAAGAGCTTCATGAGGAAATCTGTTGATGAGACCATGGCAAAGGGGCAGCAGGCTATGGACACCAGTGAGGTGTATCAGATGGGCATGAAGGATGTTGCGCAATGCCTGCATCAAGCCATGAAGGGGATGATTGAACGGAACAATGAGAAGGAATGGGTGCTGAGAAGAATAGGTTGGTGCCTGTGAAGGATGGGGTTATCACACCTCCCAATTGGACAAGGATTCAAGGGGCAAGGAATTGGCTGATTTGGTTGAATGGATGTATCATTCAGATCAGGATTGGTACAAAGACGCAGACATCCCAGGATTAGCTGATGAGCAGCTGCCAGAATGGGTGGAGGCCAGCCAGTTTCAACCGCCATTGGCCTCTAGGAAGGCAGCTTTGCAAAGAGAGCATTCTATGAGCGATGAGGCCCAAGAGAAAAGGACAAATCAACATCAGAGAAAGAAGAATAGGAAAGTTGTGAGGGATGCAGCCAAGGCATTGGGTGATGAGGGAAAAAAGAGCCATCAGAGATCAGCTGCAGCAGGGGAGCAGTCATGAGGTGAAGAGTGCAATGGTGCCATCAGCTACCAGGAGGGGAGCAGCACAGAATAAGGGCAAGGATAAGAAGAAGATGAGTTGGATGAAGAAGGCCAAGAAGCATATGCAGAAGAACATGAAGACAAAAAGGCATTGGGGGATGTGGCCAAGGAAAAGCTAAAGAAGGCACTGGAGGATGGGGGTCATGAGAAGCATGATGAGAAATCCCAGCAGAAGAAGCGTTCATTGGATGATAAGAAGGATGAGAACGGCAAGGATGAAGCCAATCTCCCATTGCCATCACCAGCGTGGGCACCCCCAGATGGATGGGAGGGGAAGATCAGGGGTCATCAGTGAAATGGATGGAAGTACTCTGTATGGGAGGCAGGGTGAGGCATTGGGCCAAGGGAAGAACGGTGTCCGCAAGGTGGGGGGGATGAGAAGATTTGGAGATGGCACCAATTGAGTATGAGCAGGGAGATGAAGCTGGAGATTCTCTATGAGGCTGGCCTATTGTCTATGGACCTTGGGCTCATTGATGTGAATGGGGGTGTGGAGGTGGTATCAGAGAAGAGCATCAAGGAGAATGAGGTGGATCTCCAGCCATTGGTTTTGGGATGGGCGCTCATCAGGTAGGTAGCCAATGAGAAGAAGCTGGATGAGTTGGGCCCTGTGAGATTCATGCATCCCTCTATCTGCTATGGCCTCATTTTTTATCAGAACAATGAGTATGGTCATAAGGAGCTGGTGGCGCCATGGGAGAAGATATCAAAGGTTGTCATGAGGCTGAGGGCAAGCTCTATCTATTTGATCCCCATTCCAGCTGGGGGGCATTGGACACTGCTGGTGGTGGATTTGAGGATGGGTGTGCCTTTTGATAGGCAGGTGCGGTATTATGAGACATTGGAGACCCCATCAGATTTATCCAAGGAATGTGGTGAATTGGTATTGGCTGCATTGCTCCGATTGGGTATCATTGATGAGAAGTTCTTGGATAGGCCCCCCTACAAAGAGGAATGAGGTGGTGAGGCAAAAGAAGGGATCCAACAAATGTGGTGTATTTGTATTGGCCTATATGGAGCAGTAGGCTGCTGAGGCCATGGGGTATGGCCCGGCACAGATTGGATGGCCATGGGTTGCTGCCCAGAATTGGATCGCCAAGATGAAGAAAATGGGTGAACAATTGGAGATTGAGAGGGAGAAGAGGATCAAGGCTATGAGGGGGCAGGATGAGAAGGATCAGAAGAATGGGGAGAGGATGAGGGAGGAGAGGGAGAAGATGGCAGCGTTGGCTGAGAAGATGAAGGCAGCCAACAAGAAAATGACCAAGATACAGGAGGATGCTTGGAAATTGGTGAATGAGGGTGGTGCTTTGAGGGTGGATGAGCTCCCATCAGCCTATTTGAAAGCCAAAGCCAAGATTGAGTTGGATGCGATTGGTGTATGTGGCAAGTGCAGGTATTCCAGTGGGTGTATCGAATGCAATGTATGGAAATGTACTGCCTATTGGATGAGGAAGGAGGGGAAGAGGCTGGGCAGGAAGATCCCATATGAGTATACATTGGCTGCACAGATTGCTGCTGGGAAGGATGAGAAGAGCAAGCAGAATGATCAGAATGATTGATGGATGACAGGATCAGCATGGGAAAAGGGTGGATCAGAATGCTATCTCTCAAAAAGATTGCATGAGACAAGGGTGGATCAAAAGATCAGTTTCACCATGGACCAGAAGATATTGAAAACTAGAAAAAATAAATTGATAAATATAAAACCAATTGTATTTTTGTCTGGGGGAGCTGGGATTGATTAATAGGGGGAGGTTTCTGGTAGAGAAAAAGTTATTAGGGTGATGCCAAGGTGGAAATCTAGGTTTTAAATTAGTTTAGTATTGGGGGGGTCGAGCTGGGATTGATTAATAGGGGGTGGTTACATAATCCTATGTCAACATTATGTAATTAGATAACACACTAACGCTTGATGGACTGATGCTGCGATCAGCAATCTAAGCCTAAGCCATCAATAAACCTTTTTGAACTGCTTGATCCTACGGAGCCACAATATTTTTGGCCAAGGCACTGTTGGCTGCGCAAAACGGCAACAGCCACAAGCCAATACCATTTAAATACATCAGCTTGAAGGAACGCCTCTGACCTGAACGTCTTGACCGCTCGCAAAGTAACTCATCCATTTCCGATACTTCATTGCAGGAATGAAGTAGGTATCCCATTCCGTGCACGAACATGCGCCAATATTCTTGTCATTGTCAAATGAGTCAATTGGAAATCTTTCATTGCATCACAAACACGAACCGTATTATACATTATCCGTTTTACCCTTTCCATGCTTCGGAGCCGAGATGATACTTAGGAGTCTGGGTTGAAAACAATTGCGCTTGACTGGTGAGATCAAAGACTGTGCAAATGAGTTCTGAAAGTAGCAAAGTCGCAAGGTGCTTCCCCCATCTCACGTTTACTGTAACTGATGATTTGGCTGCGCACATGTTGGAATGTGTCTCTTGTCTCTTTGCTCAATTTGTTGGGTACAACCGGCTGCACTGCTGCTGGAAGGCCAGTGTCCGAGATAGTCGCCACACGACGTAGGGCAGGCCGGTGAATGTCCTGGTCAGGCTGCGATGGCCTCCAACCTGCTACCGATAGCCTCCAACTCAAGAGCGACGGCCTCGACCCTAAATGCATTCTGTGCAAAAATATGTTCATCTTCACTCCAGAGTCTTGGAGAGGGGAGCTCTCTTGGCACTAAATGTGTTCGTAACGATGAAGGGTTTCGGACTTCATGCTAGCCTCTCTCCAAGTGAATGCTTTGACATTTTGTCTTTGATGGATGCTTCCGTTTCGTAGTCCTCCCAGTCATGGTGCAGTTGGCATGAATCCGTGTACTGAAGGCAATGCCTTAGGCATGCTTTCATGTGACCTCAAGCACTGAGGTGCTCTACAAGCTACATGATTGAAAAATGTTGGTGAAGAATGAATGACTGAGCACAAATGAATGGCAACATTGAATTTGGTTTATAGATATTTATATCAAATATCGAAGTAAACACAAGTCACAAACCTGCGCGACACACAGGGTCCAAGTTATGTGAGCAATCCTGACGAGAATCCTACAAGTACGATGAACATGTCCAGTGGGTTATATCATATATCCAACACTTGCCAGTCTAACATTTGCCAAATGGATGTCCACCTACAAGACTTGCGAGGTGAAATACTCAGAACACATTCAACATTGAACATCCGTATTGGCAATGTTCTGAGATCAGGATATATATATATATATATATGTACAATACACAAAATTACCAACCTGAGAAGGGATGGGACAAAAGCCAGCCTCAGTAAGAAGACATGAATATGGCAATGGGGATGAAGTCGAGAGCGCACTGGAGCCGCTGCCACGAATGGGGAAATAAAAGGCAGAGGTGGAGAGTTTGAGTAAAGGCCACTATGACAGGCTCTCATTCACAGGTGGGGGAGTGGGGTGCCCCCGTTCTTGTTGCCCAAGGAGCGTTTTGAAGATAGAAAAGGGCACCCCTAAGTATCTGAAGGGATGCTTGTTTCTCTTGTGTTGTAGATAGACTCATAAAGTCGGCGTGCTGCTAAGTGGACCGAGGAAAGTTTACTGCCGAGATCATGCGAGTGTTTGACGTCGGGGTAGGATTACCGTTGTCATGGGGGGACGTCGACATTGCAGCAATGGTCAGGCGGTTTTTCCTTCGGTTGAAGGGCGTTTTGGAGCTGAAAAAGGGCGCCCCATGGCGCCCCTAAGGAACTCAGGGGCTGTTCTTGTTTTTCGTGCTCGTAGATGCACTCAAAGACTTGGAGACATCGGGCAAAGAGTACCTTTGTTATGGGGTGAGGTCGACACTGCAGCCACGCTGACAGGGGGTAGAACTAGAAAGCAGAATACATAGGTTTGAGGGGGGGTGCCCTTTTTCCTCTTGGTGGCAGGACGTTTTCAAGCGGAAAAAGGGCACCCCTAAGGAACTGAGGGGCGATTGCCTGCTGCGTGATATTCTCGTCTTGGAGACGTGCCGCCAAGAGCGGATCGAGGGAAGTCTACATCATGATCATGCGATTGCCAAAAATTGAGCCAAAATTGCTGTGGGGCTCCATCGCCAAGCTTTCGTAAGGATAGATAGATAGATAGATAGATAGATAGATAGCTAACTAGCTAGCTAGGTAGGTAGATAGATAGATAGATAGAGAGATAGATAGATAGATAGATAGATCGATAGATAGATAGATAGATAGTTAGATAGATAGATAGATAGATAGAACTAGACGACGAGTGGCCCGAAAGCATTTTTCATCACGTAGGAAATCAGAGTGCGAGTTATCCGGTAAGTGTGTAGTGAGAAGCGTTAAGTCGAGTGAGTTGAGGTAGTGTGTGGGTTTCTGTGCGTGTGTCTATGTCCGTGTGGAAACGAGTCTGCGTATGTGTGCGTTCGTGGAAGTTGAGGGAGTGTGTGGGTGTTTGTGTGCGATGCGGCCTCCCAAACCCCCCACCGGCGGCCAAGCGGTGACATCCCAGCTCATCGTCGTGAGCATTTGGGCTGCTGGTAAGGGGACAATGGCAGCCAGCGTGCTGGCTTACCCACTTCAACTATGATGGCAGCCAGCGTGCTGGCTTTGCCATCTGGACAATGGCAGCCATAGATAGATAGATAGATAGAAAAAAAGAAAAGACAGAAAGAAAGACAGAAAGATAGGTAGGTAGATAGATAGATAGATAGCTAGAGAGATAGTTAGATAGATAGATAGATAGATAGAAAAAAAGAAAAGACAAAAAGAAAAACAGAAAGAAAGGTAGGTAGATAGATAGATAGATATAAAAGCTGCGTCCTCAAGGGCAGAACTTTTTCGGTCAGCTCCCCACCTGTTTTCCCATCCTCCCCCCGCTATGCCAACCCTGCACATGAACTCCCACTCCATATGGGGTGCCCTTTTGCGCCTGGCCAACAGGCCTCTTCACTGTAAAAAAAGGACACCCCCAAGCAAAGCTTCCACTGCATTTGGTTCTCTCTCCTGCCCTCACAGATCACATAGTGTCTTCAGAGACACACACCTCCCTTTCACCCTGGTCGAGCGCTATTTCAATCGCCGCCTTTTCCTGTCATCGACATGAGCTCCCACCCATGCTTGAAGATGATTTAGATTGCCTCCTGAGCCCCTCATGATGCTAATGTCTATTACATCACCTGCGTCACAACACCCCAAAAACCACTCCCAAACTGCGAAAAATGTTCTTCGCTCTCCCCCACCAGGCTCTGGGTTCACCCTCCGAAATTGACCCGTGTGCGATAACCCCCCCCACACCCCCTAATGCTCACTTCGTCCGCCCAACCCAACTCCAGCCTAGTCTATCGGCTGGCTTTCGTGACAAAGGAACAACCTGCACAAAACGGGAGACCTTCTCCAAACACGGGCGAACTGGGGCTAGTTCGCAAGGAGGATTCCTCACCAGGATACCTGCAGAGTGTTGCATTCTCGGTGACTTCCATGACACCTGCAACTGATGCGCCGATATCACTCTTGTTGCCAAAGGTAGCAAAACAACAAAAACTCAGCCCAAACTAGACATGCATTTACAAGCACGATCGAGAGAAAAAAACAACGCCACCAGAAGGGCCAAGCGCCTAACATGATACCATGATGCAATCTGCCAATGTTCACACTATTTGTCTTAAAACAACCTAAGAGCGATGGCCTCCACTCTACTAGCGATGGCCTCCAACTTAATAGCAATGGCCTCCACCCTAGTAGCGATGGCCTCCAACCTAATAGCGATCGCCTCCTAAAGCTTCTATTTGTCTTTCAAACCTCCGAATCCAAAAGGCATCCATTTCAATCCTTGATTGCCAATTTCTTAGGTGAGCCATCTTGACTGCTTTCCCTCAAACTCCAAAATGGTTCTTCACGAAGTGCATGCATTCTAGAAACTAGGGCTGCTAAAGTTGAATCTGTGCGAACCCTAGCAAGTCTGGGTGTCCAGCGTGCAACTGAACAGTCATCAACCTGTGCCGGGCAGTGTTTGAAAGCACGGGGTGTCATGCGGTTCTTCTAGCACAAAATTGAAAAGCCAACAACATGTTCTCAGGTTGACTATAGTATGTGGTACAAATTATGACGATGCGGCAATGATGCGTCACAATTATCTAAAGAAAAAAGTCACTGATGGTCTAGCACATAGATGATTTAAAAGACTTAAAACATCTTGAAAATGCTAGGCCCACTCCGGCTCCCTCCAATCCACTCTGTCCTTCCAAGTTCTTTTCATGGAAAAGACCCTCCTCACTACCCAAATGGTATTCTTGTACTCAAAAGGAATTACGTAGTTTTGCCAGTTGATGTTGTCAGCGGAGTCCTCCTCCTCTCGACTACTGTAGTTTCAATAATCACTACGACAATGTTAAAAGGCCAAATCATTGGAGGTTGTTGGGTGTGATCAATTGATTCTGTGCCCCTCAATGACAAGAAACTTCAGCAAACTAAACATCGTTTGAAAAACAGTTTTGTGACAACAGCTAGGATCCCAGATGTCATCCTTCAAGAATCTAAAGAACCAGTCATGCTCTTCCCCTCCACCACCCAAACAAGAGGCAGCATAACATTGTGTTTTCCAAAAGATGGGCGATGTGCCTCTTTGGGCTTGGATGCATCA